GGAAAGCTCCGCCCCCCTCTTGACCCGAGTGTCCAAAACATGCGGCCGCAGATCAGCTGAAACGACAATGAAGTCGATCATTGAACTGCGGCCTAGAGTGTCCTGGTGCCAGGTGCACATATGGACACTCTTATGTTTGAACATGGTGTTCGTTATGGACAATCCGTGCCGAGCACAGAAGTCCAAAAACAGAACACCGCTCGGGTTCAAGCTGGGGGGGCCATTCCTCCCAACCACGCCCCTCCAGGTCTCACTGTCGTTGCCCACGTGAGCGTTGAAGTCCCCCAGCAAAACGAGGGAGTCCCCAGAGGGGGCACCCTCCAGTACCCCCTCTAAGGACTCCAAAAAGGGTGGGTACTCTGTGCTGCCGCTAGGCGCATAGGCACAAACGACAGTCAGGACCCGTCCCCCCACCCGCAGGCGAAGGGATGCTACCCTCTCGCTCACTGGGGTAAACCCCAACGTACAGGCACCGAGATGGGGGGCAATGAGTATGCCCACTCCTGCTCGGCGCCTCTCACCCTGGGCAACGCCAGAGTAGAAGAGCGTCCAACCCCTCTCGAGAAGGCTGGTTCCAGAGCCAGAGCTGTGTGTCGAGGCGAGACCGACGATGTCCAGCCGGAATCTCTCCGCCTCGCACACTAACTCAGGCTCCTTCCCCGCCAGAGAGGTGACGTTCCACGTCCCTAGAGCCAGCTTCTGCAGCCGGGGATCAGTCCGCCAAGATCCCCGACTCCGGCCGCCGCCCAGGGCACACTGCACCCGACCCCTATGGCCCCTCCCACGGGTGGTGGGCCCGTGCGAAGGGGGACCCATGTAACCTTTTCGGGCTGGGCCCGGCCGGGCCCCATGGGTGAAAGCCCGGCCACCAGGCGCTCGCCATGGTGCCCCGCCCCTGGGCCTGGCTCCAGGGGGGGGGCCCCGGTAGCCCGCGCCCGGGCGAGGGTACACGAAGTCCAATATTCTTCATCTTCATAAGGGTCTTCTGGGCTGCGCTTCGTCTGATCCCTCACCTAGGACCTGTTTGCCTTGGGTGACCCTACCAGGGGCTTGAAGCCCCGGACAACATAGCTCCTAGGATCACTGGGACACTCAAACCCCTCCACCACGATAAGGTGGCAGCCCAGAGAGAGGGGGCTGCCACCTTATTTTTTTAAAATATAAAAGTTTTTTATATTTTAAACTTTTTCTATTTCTGCTTGTTGTATTTTGTCTTTATGATTATTTCTCTTTCATTTTTGCCTTTGTGATAACTCATCTCTTCACTGTTTCATATATTTTTGCCCATTTAGTTTCTGATTATTTTTGTGGTCGTTTTGCTTTCCAGTTTGATCCTTTCCAGTGTTTTGCTCTTTTTATGATGTCAGTTTGAGTCTTTAGCATCACTCAGGATGCAAACAATGCAACAATTCCCAGTTTGTACGTTGATGAGAAAGACCTCGATTAGCTCCTGTGAGGCCGAGCAGGCGTTAAAAAACACACCCAGGCTGCTTTTGTATCAGCCCTTCGTTGGAGAGCTGCTGGTGACCTTCCTCTTTCGTAGAGACACCAAGTCATAAAAAGGGTCCTTGGTGATGCTCGCCCTGAGGAAAAAGAAGACAAACTCAGCCTTCGTGTTGCTTTCAGCTTCTCTGTTCTGGGTCCTTGCATCAGAAACTCTACCGTTTAATAGCAAAGAAAGTCTCGTATTCATCCGACAAACAAGGTCTTCCAATTGTCTGATTTAACCCTTTAAAGCCTCACAAATATGTGACAAACCATTTGACTCGATCAAACAGCCGAGATAACGTCTGCACCCCCCCGCAAACGGTTAATGCAACTCACTACGGACATGGGAACCTCGACAACTAAATAAAGACGTAAAAAAAGGGTGGATAAATAAAACCTTTTTTTACACTGTTATATTACTGTGTTATTGTGTTACCAAATTGGCCCCAAATTGACCATTATGCCAATTTGTAACATACCAACATTTCTATTTATTTTTTGTTCAAAAGTAAAATGAATTAAGAATTATTATTAATTAATTATTAATAAAGTAAAATGAATAATGAATTAATTAATAATAATAATTAATTAATTATTAATTTTACTTTTGCACAAAAAATACATTAATTCATATGCAATAATTCATAATTATTATTTATTAATAATCTTAACATTATTTACCATCTACTTGAATGCATAAACACACATAAAACCTTTTTTTTTGTGTACATCTATATAAATTCAGGCTTTAAGGGGTTAAATAGAAAGCGGTCCTCCCTGAGATGGCGTTTGGATCAGAACCTCTAACATCTCCTGCTAAATCCTCCTTATTCTGGCCCCTCTGGACCCTCTGGGGGCTGACCGGGGGGCTTTTTGAGGCCTGGCGGCGGCGGTCACCTGATGGCGTCCATCCATTCGTCGCGCTCCTCTGCGGAGGCGGCGCTGAGCCGGTAGGACTGGTGTTTGCCCTGCACCACCCGGCCCCGGGGCTCCGTCTTACAGGCCTTTATCTTCTGCCCCGAGGGGTTGAACAGCTCCAGCCCGAACTAATCACACAAAATAAATATACACACAATCACACACACATTCACACACAGACAAAATAAATATACAGGCGATTATACAGCGTTTTTCTGGTCAAACTGACTCCTCAAAGAGCTCCACACACACAATCACACTCACATTCACACACACAATCACACACAATCCCACAAACAATCACACACACATTCTCACACAGACAAAATAAATATACAGGCAATTATACGGAGCTTTTCTGGTTAAACTGACCACTCAAAGAGCTTCACACACACAATCATACACACATTCACACACACAATCACACACACATTCACACACACAATCACACACACAATCACACACACAATCACACAAACATTCACACACACAATCACACACACAATCACACACCAGTACCACCAGTGGGCAACTGGGGCTTCGGAGCCTTTGTTTAAAAACTTTTTTCTGCACGTTCACCACCTCCTTCTATTAGATGAACATGAGGTATGTTAAAGGGGACATATTATGCAAAACCAAGTTTTTAATCATTTGATCATGTACATTTGGGACTGTGGAGGGCCTATCAGCAGCCAAAGTGTGAAAAAAAATTACTCAGTCATGTTTTTATGGGCTGCCTCAGTCTGAATCCAGGAGATAAATCAGGAGGTTTCAGGAGTGGGTAGTTTCTGACGTCATTAGCTCTAGGTCATTATAATATTCCAGCCTTTCACCTGCATGTTGCCCCCCCCCTCAGCTTACTCCCCTATCTGTGGCAGACGTCCTGGTAGCGTGAGCGTTAGCATGGTAGCATTAGCATGGTAGCGTTAGCATGGTAGCGTTAGCGTGCCGACGTGGGCACACCTCCCGGAAGAAGTGGGTGGGTTGCCTGTGTCTCATTTGCATTTAAAGAGACAGGCACTCCAAAGCGAGCGCTCTGAACGGGGCTGTTTTGGCAGGGTTAGGGTTAGGGTTAGGGTTAGGGTTAGGGTTAGGGTTAGGCAGGGGGACTGAACTGCTATTGGGCTTCATCCTTATGGGATTTTGACCAAAGCTTGTCACAGACATTACATTAGGACACCAGGGAACTAGTTTAACTTGTGGAAATAGGGTATAATATGTCTCCTTTAATTGTTTACAAATTCAGTAGTAATTCCTCACGTTAAGTTGATGTATAACTAATATACACACACCAGCAGGTTCACATAGGTATTTGCATTTATGTCACAATACTTATCAACTAATATTACTAAATATAAAACTCGCTGTCCTCCCTGGTCCTTCCCCTTCCCTTTGTAGTCAAGATGGCGTCCGTTTAGTGTCCATCACTCCACATAGAATTTTTTTTCCCGATTTTAGGGGTCATCCGAGTACATTCAGTGCACTGACTTTTGTGTTATCTACACTATATACTTATCTGTACTATCTATACTATATACTTAAAACTAAGTTTTTGTGGGCAGCGGACTCCTCTGATCTGAGGTCACAAACCTGCTTGTTGGAGTCCTGCAGCTTCCGGACGCAGAGGTTCTCCAGGGGGATGATGCCGATGGGGTCTTTGTCCTGGTGGATTTAGACGGGTCAGAAGCGGTCGCCGTGGCGACGGCGGCGGCGTGGAGACGGAGACGGAGACGGAGACTCACCGTGGTGAACTCGAAGTAGTACAGACAGCTGTCGGTCAGGATGAACCACCTCCGCTTCCAGGTTTTGATCCGGCCGCCTTCAGAGGGGAGGAGCAGAGACATGAAGCATCCGGAGGGTTTAAAGGCCCCGCCCCCATAGGTAACGCCCAAAACGCCACGCCCCGGAGGCCACACCACACCCCAAAGGCCACGCCCTGGGGAGCCACGACCCAGAGGCCACGCCCCCAAGAGGCCACGCCCCCGGAGGAACCCCCCTGGAGGCCACGCCCAGATGGACCCCACCCCCGAGGCCATTCCCTGGAAGCAGCGCTCCAGAGGCCACGCCCCCGGAGGCCACGCCCCGGGGACGATGGGGCAAGCCCAAGAGGCCACGCCCTGGAGGCCACGCCCAAGATGCCACGCCCCCGGAGGCCACGCCCCAGAGGCCACGCCCAAAAGGCCACGCCCCTGGAGGGCTAGGCCCCACAGGCCACGCCCAAGAGGCCACGCCCCCTGAGGTCCCGCTCACAGTGGCCTCACCCATCTTGAGCAGCCAGCCCTCGCGGTCCGGGTTGAAGAAGGTCAGCGTGAGGTCGTTGCCGTCGTCCTCGGGGATTTTGAACGGCTCGCTGCGGATGCTGGCGTAGAGTTTCTGGATAAAAGCAGGAAGAAGACCCCCCCCGACCTGTGAGATCAGGCTCCAGACTCCATTTTGATAAAAGCTGAAAGTTGAGGATCGGGGGGAGCTCCCATGATGCACCTCTCCACCCTCTATAGACTTCTGGGGAGTTCCCATGATGCACCTCTCCTCCCTCTATAGACTTCTGGGGAGTTCCCATGATGCACCTCTCCTCCCTCTGCTCATGTTCCTCTCCATGTGACATTATTGCCGTCATTAACTTGCTTTTCTATTTTATTGAATGTGATTCTGATTAAATCTAATCATTCTGGTCTGAGTGGATTTGAGTGGAATTACCACAAATTGGATTATTTTTTAGGTGGACGGCATCACGGTGACGTTTGTTATGATTTGGTGTCTAAATTTAATTTAACTCAATCATAACAGATTATAACGTGCTAAAAAACAGAAACCATCAGTGGAAATTTGATAACTGTTTAGACCACTCAAAAGCTATTTCTTATCCATTTATTTATCCATCTGGTCTCTTTCTCCCACTTCTCCTCTTCATCACCAATCCAACTCATCCCTGTCCTCCTCTCACCTCTGTTTGGACCCAATCATCCCATCCCATTTCACCACTCCACCTCCTCCTGATTAGGCCCTTCATTAAAAGGTGTTTCTTCCGAGTTCTGACTTTCAAATGCAAATGATTTATTCGACATAGCTATTGGTATTTAATTGGAAAACCCTGGGGGTTATTTGGCTAAATCTGGTACAAAGCTGTCATCTGAACTCAGGAAAACCCTGCAATAAATCAAATAAAACAAACAAAAAAAGCCAGATGTTGCACAGCTGGCTGAGTTTTTCTCCATGTTGTGACTGTTTGAGTTCACTGAGGATCCCAACCAGCTTAATCTTATATTCATTTTCTGTTTTTCTGTGCAAAAACAGAATGGAAAACACTCTTCAAACATTTTTTGTTGCTTTTCTTGAAGCTCTTTTGCTTTCTGCCTTCATTCCGGTTCACATTTAGCTTTACAGAAGCTTTTAATCAAGTATTTTTTCACATTTTAAACTTTTTATTTTTTTTACCAATTGGACTCTGTCTCTGAGCAGCTCTTTAGGTATTTTTGTCCAAAGGAAAAATTTAACTAACATTCCTCTTGCCTTCATTTGAATGTTTATTTCAATAGTAGTATTTTTCTTGGCCTTGTCTCTAATTGTTTCAGAGCTCTTTTACAGGCTGAAACACCTGCATCCCTTTGATGTGAGAGAAACCTCTTCATAACATTTTTAATTTGGGGTATTTAGATAGATGTCTGGGATCTGATTAGATTAGTTTCTGTTAACCTGGTAACAACCTTTTTGTAATGCAATCTTAGAGGAAAATTCAGACTAATTCAGCCTCTCCATATTGTTTAAGAGATTCATTTAGAGGGTCTAAATCATCTAAGCTGTTGTTAACCCTTTAAAACCCGATCCAAGAAAGATAGGAAGAATATTGGATTTTTTTAGTCTGAAGTCTTTCTTTGGCCCCTCAACAACATATGAAGAAAAAAAAAGGAATTATTTTGATTGAATTAGCGTGCAATAAGTAAAAAAGTGTAGTCTTCTACTGGCTGTTATCAGGTATATCTGAATGTGTACAACAGGGGTTTGAGCAAAGCTTTTACCACTGAATGATGCAAAAAGTCTCAGATCCAAAAGATTTCAGAAACCGTATGAATCAAATATGATACATTTGGCATTATAGGGTTAAATTTGAACTTTTTGAGACAGATGTGGACCGGAGTCATTTCTGATGCTGCTGTTTTTTCTGAATCCGACAGAAACACGGTTTGATTTGGCCGTGATGAAGAAGAGGAGGAGGAGGAAGAGGAGGAAGAGGCTGACCGTGAGCAGCTCGCCGGGCAGGTCCCCGCCGTTGTTGATGCCTCGGTTCATGGAGACGAAACGCTGCTGGCTGGGCTTGTCTTTCACGTTGGGGTTGTGGAGGCTGGTGTTGAGCATGATGATGGCAAAAGACAGGATGTAGCAGGTGTCTGCGACAGAAAAACCACAGCCGGGGTTTATTTCACTTTCAGACTGCCGCTGTAAACCCTGTAATGCCAAGTGTATCATATCTGATACGTACGGTTTCTGAAATGTTTTGTTTCTGACTAAAAATGAGTCCTGATAAGATCATTAACGCTCTCCCACTCCACACCTATTTTTGACAGTGTGGTTCACTTTGAATTTGAAGTAGTTAATTTGTCACATGCTCCCTTACACAAATTCAAAATTCAGCACTAAAGATATGCAAAGAAAATATGTTTTAAAATATGTACAAAGAGAGAAATGAATGTATTTATGCCTATGCTGAAAATACACCAATTCCCAGAAGTTAAGCAACAGTAAAGCTACATTTAGACTTATTATGTCTTATATTAGGAAATTAACCCTGTAATGTCAAATGTATCATATTTGATACATACGGTTTCTGAAATGTTTTGCTTCTGACACCTTTTGCATAATTTACTGGTAAATACTTTGCTCAAAATCGTATTGTACACAATCAGATACACCTGATAACAGGGGGCAGAAGACTACAAAAAATAATCTTGACTTATCGCTTAGTAATAAATTATTAATATAAAAAATGTATTTCTGTTTTTTCTTTTTACATATTTTGTTAAAAGGCCAAATAAGGAATTCAAACAAAAAAAATTCTGTTTTTTTTTATTCTTGGATCAGGCTTTAAAGGGTTAAAGATAATGGCTTTGTGAATGCTGCAGTAGGAGAAACAAACAATTACTTTTCCCCGGTCGAGGAGGGAGTTGTGGGGCTTTTCTTTTTATCTTGAGAAGCAGGGATGCTTTTTAATGGTTTTTAATGCTTCTTACCGGTGGACTGGAAGACCCCCGGGTTACAGTCACAGTAGCGGGTGGCAAACGCCTCCATCATCCTGTCGATCTTCTGAGCTTCTCCCGGGAGGCGGAAACTCCACAAAAACTGCCTGTCAGGCGGAGAAAAACAGAAAAAACACCCCGAACCAAAAGCCAGCCGTTAGGGCGGGAGACGGTTTCAGCTTCCAGGGAGAAACGAGGAGATGGGGGAAAGAAAAGCAAAGCAAAGCTCTCACAGACCTCAGCGCCTGCACCAGATTCAGGTCGGAGAACTCGTGCAGGCCCACGAACGCCTTCAGCACCTCCAGATGCATTTCCTCCCTGTGCGGAGGTTAAAAACACGGTGATTAAAGCCACAAAGGCTCTACACACTTCTCCTGGAGTCTAAAAACACAGAAAACTTTCTCCACACCTCATGATCATGATCTGATCTGAGAAAAAAAAGAACATTTCCACACAATGATCCACATTTCTGGAAGTTTTAGTATTCAGATATTCATGTTCCTGCACATTTAACTTGACAAAATGATCTATTTTAACTTAATTTTCTGGTTATATTTACATAAATGGATCAGTCGTTAAGATTTCCAATTTGAAATAGAAAATGTCACTTCCTTCCCTCTCTGCTAACCTCGATGGCTTCAGGTCGTCTTTAGAGGCAAGATGAATATGCTTGTTTTTTTTAAATTAATCTATGTAAATTACTGATTTTTATTTTCTTTTACAATATATTTTGTGTTAAAGTCTCTGGCTGTGTCCGCAGACTCTTTCCTCTCTCTTTTTCTTTCTCTTTTTTTCTTTTTCTGTTGCATTAGATCCACTTTTAGGCAAACACACACCATTTGTTACCATTTACAGTCAGGAAAAGTGTTTAAAAGGTATACAGATAGAATCATCCATCCCGAACCTTTCTCCCAAGAAATTGCCAATAGCGGTCTTATTCAGTCCGTCCTCCTTGTACAGAAAAGCTGCCACGGACTGGGCCTGCCACTCCAGGAGGCCGTTTTCCACCAGGTACTGGATACCCTGCAGCAGGAAAAAGGGTGGAGAGTGTATTTAATCAATTCAGGAGCTGTGGGTAATTATCTGTGTGTTTCTACTGAGAAGAGAAGTTCTCTTCATGTGAACTACTGGCCACAGCTCGCGTAAATGATCTTATCACGACTAATTTCTTCTTATCGTGCGTTTTGGAAGTTTCCTTTTCTCGTCACTGCTGTCATTTATCAGCTCTATACATTTTTTATACATTTTTAATATTAATAACTTATTACTATGCGATAAGTCAAGATTATTTTTTGTGTAGTCTTCTGCCCCCTGTTATCAGGTGTATCTGATTGTGTACAACAGGATTTTGAGCAAAGTTTTAACCATTAAATTATGCAAAAGGTGTCAGAAGCAAAACATTTCAGAAACCGTATCAAATATGATACGTTTGGCAATACAGGGTTAATTTCGAAATATAAGACATTTTAGAGTCTAAATGTAGCTTTACTGTTGCTTAACTTGTGAGAATTGGGGTATTTTCAGCACAGGCATAAATACATTCATTTCTCTCTTTGTGGATATTTTCAAACATATTTTCTTTGTATATCTTTAGTGCTGAATTTTGAATTTGTGTAACGGAGCATGTGACAAATTAACTACTTCATATTGAGTGTGAACCACACTGTCAGAAATAGGTGTGGAGCAGGAGAGAGTTAATGATCTTATCAAGACTCATTTCTTCTTATCGTGCGTACCGGAAGTTTCCTTTTCTCGTCACTGCTGTCATTTATTCGCTCTAATCGTCATCTCAGAGGCTTCTTCCAAACCTGACCCGTAACCCGGCCACTTCCTCTAATCATTTCCACTAAGAGACCCTGGTCTCAGAGAAGTCTGGCCCACTGAGAGGGGGCTGGGCTCTAGTCTGGACTCAGCCGAAGAGGAAGGAGCCGCAGTGAGACGGAGGTCTCTGTGGCGACGCCTCCGCTCCCCTCCAGAGAACAGAGAACAGGATGTGGTCGCCTGCTCTTTCTCGGCATCGAGACTAAGCGTGAGCAGGCCCAGTTTCTGAGCATCGTCACGCTCGTCTCACACACGAACGAACAAACGAACGAACATCCGCTGAGCGGAAAACGTCCGGACGCCGTCCGGCCACTGACCCAGATCCAGGTCCTCCAATCTAAAGGCTCCAGTTAAGCTAAAATTAAGCTAGCAGAGCCTTCACCACGCTTAAGACAATCCAGACTGTTTGCATGTGTCGTTCCAAGATGGTGGAACCACCTACCAACCTACCAAAATTCTCTGTGAAGCACTTTGAAATGTGCTATACAAATAAACTTGCCTAGCATTACTGCTATCATTATCATTAGTTTCAATATAATTGCCATTTTTCATCCAGTCTGTGTGTTACTGTGTCGGCTGCCTCCCTCTGTCTTTCTCTCTCTCTCTCTCTCTCTCTCTCTCTCTCTCTCTCTCTCTCTCTCTCTCACCCCCCAACCGGCCAAGGCAGATAAGCAATGGTTCTGCTCTAGGTTTCTGCCTGTTAAAAGGAAGTTTTTCCTTCCCTGTGTCACCCAGTGCTGCTCTTGGTGGGAATTGTTGCTCTTCTGTAATTAACTTCAGAGTCTAGTCTGACCTGCTCTGTTTGGAAAGCTGGGATATAACTGTTGTTGTGATGTGGCGCTGTGTAAATAAAATTTAATTTGAATTGAATTGAAAAGCCCCCGTTCTTGTCCTTTTCTGGAGCTGCTAACCAAAGTCTATTTCCTGTGTCATTGATAAAAAGTCATAGCTGTACATAGAACAGGTGAGGTTAGATTAAATCTGGTGAACGCTCATGAATGAGGCGTTTACTCACAAAGTTTCCCTTAAAAATGACCAAGAAAAGACATATCTAATTAAAGTTGAGTGTTTGGTTGACCCATCTGATGTCTATCCATCCATCATTCTGTGAAAAAGACGTGAAACTTTTCACAAACAAATAAAAACTGGTGTCCTAAAGCACTTCCTCTGACACGTAATAACACCTCTGATCTTTTGTGGTTCCGTAACACAACTTCTAAAATGACTGTTGAGACATTTATGTTTGAACATGGACTATGATCTCTTAATTTCTAAATACAAGACGTTTTAGAGTCTAAATGTAGCTTTACTGTTGCTTAACTTCAGAGAATTGGTGTATTTTCAGCATAGGCATAAATACATTCATTTCTCTCTTTGTAGATATTCTCAGACACATTTTATTTGAATATCTTTAGTGCTGAATTTTGAATTTGTGTAACGGAGCATGTGACAAATCAACTACTTGAAATTCAGTGTGAACAACACTGTCAAAAATAGGTGTGGAGCAGGAGAGTGTTCACGTGTCCCTTAATGTACCCCATGTGGCTAAAAGTGGGATCCCCTGACACATATTTGTACTTTTACAGTCCCTGAAAAGTACATTTATGTTCCCAATCACTAAATGGATGAATTACGAGGAAGCGAAAGCAGATTTATGTGCGTTAATCGACATTACCAAACTATTTGTGAGATAATCTGGGTTAGATGGATGGCTTATATGTTCATAGCTCTACTTTAAGGTCAAATATTGTTCTGGTTCCCAAATCTATTCAGAAGGAAGATTTCAGACACATTTTCAACAGCATTAGTTTAGCAATTTAAAAACACCCAAAGTCCAATCAGCTTTGGGACACTTTGTAAAACATACTTTAGAAGCCATTATTTCAATCATAAGAGCTCACAGAAAATGTGTCAAAATGTTTAAAGTGTCAGGTTTTTCTATTTAATCCTTACTTAATTGAGCTTGTGTTTTTCATTCAGTTCGATACTGGATTTGTTTCCTCTGTTCTGCTGTAAAGAAATGACACTTTCAATGGATTTCAACTCTTGTTTAGAGCCAAGTCTCTGTAATGCTGATGGGCAAAAGCTAAAAAAACAAACAAGAGGTAGAGTTAGAATCCCTGACTCCAAATAATGAGACGTACCGGACTAAAACATTAACTAAATATTGGCCCCAAATCTATTCATCACTGAGAAGTTGCCTATAAATTGCAGTAAAATGAGCCCCATTCATCTTAGGCCTTCTTTTTGGGATTTTATTTGAACTTATTCTGTTGGTAAAAAGACTCAAAACAGTGTCAGTACAGCTTCTTAGACTACTATCACAGAAACGCTGCACAAACTCACCAAATTTGGGTCCATGTTAAATTTCTTTTTCCCACGCAGGAATTTTCTGTTCCTCGCGGAGTTTTTTCTATGAAAAGGAAAAGGAAATCACAAACTCAAAACTCAATCTTCCTCTTTCTTTCAACATTTTCTGCAAATCTTTTTAGCCTTTTTTGTAAACTTTTAGTGAACCTATCATGGGTAAAAGTAGGATTTGGACTTTTAGTCCAGTATGGTTGTAGTTGTACAGTAGTAAGAACTGTTTGGGTTCCCTGTGTCCACATTTAACTACCGCTAGTTTATTTTTACTGCATCTGTCCTTTGACGGCTGAACTTGATTCCTGTTTTGTGGTTTTCAAAGTAATTACGATGTTACATGTTAATGACTTAATGTCTGACTTCAACACTAATCAGGATGAATGTGGATAACTCGTCAAACCGTGCGAGATGGGAGGAAAACTGAAGGAGGAAGAGGTTTAGCCGCTGTGAAAAGGCCCCCGTACTCACTTCTTCTGCCTCATTTCGGGGTTGTGTGCGTCAGGCGTGACGTTGTTGATCTCCAGCCTCAGCTTCTGTCAGAGCCAGTGAGAAGGAGCAAGGTTTTGGTGTTACATCACAGAAAAAACCTCAGAGTCAGTGACTCACAGTCAATTTTTCCACCACTGTTACGAAGCAACCTTGAAACTCCTTTATATTGCAATCAAAAGTTGAGGAGTAAAAAGCCTTTTGTGTGGTGGGTGAACAGAGGATAGTAATGATGCATTTCACTGTAATATTCTCCACAGCTCCTACCTGAATGTCATCCAGCAGCTCACACTTGTGCATCTTGAGGTTGTCGCCCTGCTTCCTCTCAGATTTAGGCGGAGCTGGAGGATAGAATAGAGCAGAGATGGAGACCCAACACAGAGCTGATGTTAGAATTTGGCTATAACTTTATAACTACGTCCTTGTCACTTCCTTCTCTCTCTGCTAACCTCGATGGCTTCAAATCGTCTTTAAAGGCAAGATGAATATGCTTGTTTTTGAAAATGAATCGTTCGAATTCGGCTATAATTACTCCCTTTAGCATAGTATGCTATCACATAATCCATGGAGACAACCGATTGTTTTTATTCCTTTAAGAACTTTATTTTATTTTTGTGTTAAATTCTCTGGCTGTTCTCTGGCATTAGATCCACCTTTAGGTCAACACACACACACACCATTTGTTACCTCATTCCTGTCATCTGCATGAATTAGGACCTGGCCTGTTCGTGCCCAGAGGTAACTGGCCAATAGGACTTGGTTGTGTCCAGTCCTCCTTTGAGGAGGCGGATGGAGCCCAGGAGATAATGCCCATCACCCAGATCTCAGGGCTCTTTGCCCACTGAGACCCAGAGAGAGGTTTTTGTCTATTCTTCAGCTCATAAATCGATTTTCAGCCCGTGGTCAATGTGTGAGGCTAAAAATAACACCCCCGCTTCCCGTCTTTAATAAGCTGCTCTGATTAAGAGCATCCTGCCACCATCAAAGCTCATTTCTGCCCAGGTTGTGATGATTTTGTCCAGGAAGACAAATCAGAGGGTGTTCAGTTCTGTTCTCTGAACTCACTTTGTCAGGTATCACAACACACATTTCTGCTTTCAAATAGTCCAAAGGGCCAATACCTGCCACTATGACAAATTTATGACTTCTTGTTTCTTCACAGAAAAGCGAAACAATCAGAACTTTGAGCTTTGAGCAGACTACAGGAGCTCCACGCACACAGGGAAACGAATTCTCTAAATCGCCTCCAATCGACTTTATTTTCCGCCGTTTGCTCTAAAAACCGAGACGACAATAAATGATGGATTCGGGCACATACCTCTCCCCCAGAGGAAGCTGTCTTTCCTTCGCACGGCCATGTTGTTGAGGGTGCAGAGCGACTGAGGGCTGCACAGGAAACCAGCCCAGAGTCAGAGAGAAAGAGGGCCGGCGCTGCCATTCAGTGACACAGATGTGACTTCACCAACAACTCACTCAGCTCTGAAACAATGAAAAAAACACCCCACAACCTTATTTATAGTCTCCTGCTGTGAAGCAAACACAACTGGTGTGATGTACTCAGCTAATTATGACAGCTAAAGACCGTTTCTCAACAAAATATCAGCTGAACGGGTTTATTTCTGACAGAATTGACATTAAATGACAGCCACTGTGGGACTGGGGGTAATTAGATGGATGTCAGAGGAGCTGAGTCACAGGTTGGAGAGACAACTCTGTAAATAAAAGGAAAAATGTCAAACAGACTGAAAAGTCATGCTAATCCCAGCTGAGGTGATTTTCTCATGACTGAGTGTGACTCATTTTCTCATGAGCATCTGTATCAATAACACAGGCAGCAGAAAGCAGAAAGTGCTGCACACTGTGTTATATTAAAGAATATGCCAGCCAACGTCAAACAAATAGAAACAGAAGCAACTTCAAGGTCTGGTCAGAGTTGTTTAAAGAAGGAAGTTAGCTAGCAGAAACGGCAGGAATAAACTCTTTTTTTTTACCACAAAGAAATGATATCTTAATATAATGGCATAATTGAAAGATTGAATAGAAATATGAACCATTTTTTGCTTCCAAAATAAAGCATTTTATGTAGAATTAGTCCTAAAACGCTCACAGATCAGTCAACATTCATTTTTACTGGATGAATTAGAAGTCACAGAAACATGGCTGCCGTATTATATCTGCAGCTGCATCACAGCTGATGTTCCCAGATGTTGTTGCAACTTTCTGTGCAAATGTCTGTGCATTTGAAATTCAAGAAATATTTCAAATCTGATTATTGCGATTGAATTCTGACACAAATTTGGTCTTCTCTGATATGTTACATGACCACCTTCCCATTGGAAACACTCCCCCTTGATCCAATATGTCAGTATTAATTTATTTAATTAATTAATTAATTTTACTCACTGGGCTCTTCAGACATGTCCTTTTTCCTTTAGCTTCTGAAATAAAACAGGGTCCTGTGACCTTTGACTCGGTCAGAGTGTTTTACAGTACACACAGAGACGCAGGTACACATAGAATAAGCAAAAAAAAAGTCAAAGACAAAGACAAACCCCAATCTGGAGCCGACCCCTCTAATCCATCTGGGACCAAACCATTTCTCCCCTGCTCTTCTAGCCTCATAGTTTCCACTATGACTCCCCCTCTGAACCCAGTAAATCCTCTTTATTCTACAATAAACCCACCTTTTGTTTGGGTTCCACACACTGCTACAGGAGTGGTTTCATTTCTGAGCATGAGGCCCCACCTAGTGGGGCTTCCCTCCTCTGGAGGCTCCATTTCTTATTCATGTGGAGGAGAGACACAGTCAGGCTTCGGGCTATTGCTCATTCATACTCCGATTGTGTTATTGTTATTGTTGTCTCAACAAACCAGGATCCCCGGACTGGATCGGCCCGTATAATTGCTTTGTGACTCAGCCCTAATCAGCAGAGTCCAGCCTTCTCCTCTTTCTTCTTCTGTTGACAGAGGAGCTCATTTTCTTAAACAACTGGCAGCTGCGTCCTTTTAAATTAAATCAATTCAGAAGATGGGATGCAAGGGGAAGAGCCTGAGTCGCAGATTTGAAGCTCCACTGGTTTCCCGGAGCCGTGCGTGAGTCAAAACAAAATGTTGTTTGTGTGGGTTTATGCTAATGAGGGTCAGCCTGGCAGCAGTGAGCTTCTAAAAAGTCTCCGGATTAAACGGGCAGTAATTAATGGGATCAGTGTATTAACTGGTGAAATGTTTTTTTATTGGATAAATGAGACTGTGGAGGTAATGACCGGATAATCGTCCAGTGGACTCTGTGGTAACTGACCCAAAATCAACACGGGTTCATTCAGAACAGGCTGAGAGAAGACAGGGAGGCCTCACAGGAGAAGAGAGGAAACGGAGGAAAACTGGGAGGAATGAGCAGAAAAACAAAAAAAATGGGGAAGAAGGAACAAACTGAGAACTCAGAGATAAAATAACGATCAATTTAGAAACACTCAAAATGTTAAAAGAGACTCAAAATAGACCAAATCATGAAAAAATCCAGATTTCCCAACACTCACAGGACAGAGTTGTAGCTCAGAGGCAGAATGGAAAATGACAAATCTGAATATCCATCCCTTCTGTTCCCTTTTGCTCCTTATATTAAAGTGCGTCCTGTGACCTTTGACCCCACAGCATGTCCGTTCCTGCTCGCTTTAACCCTCCATCTGTGCCGTTCGGTCCAGATTTATGCTGGAACCTGACAAAAGACCCAGTTTGGGTCGGGAACCCACAGGTGGGCAAAGCGTTGGTGTTTCCTCTTGGCTGATGGGACTTTTTCCCCTTAAATCTGCTGAACGCCGTCCAACATGGGGCAGGCTGTTGTGTTTTTTTTTTAGCCTCTATATCTTTCAGCCTGATCCTGAACCATCTCAGAGCAGAAAACAAACCTTAAGACAAAAGTCTGATTGCTTTTAATCAAACTATCAGGATAAGCGTGATCTGGATGAATGAGAATCTGTACTTCCACATTTAAAGGTTGCTCTTAAAAATCTAAAGGTGTTAGATTAAATTCCTCAGCTTTATTGGTTTTGTGAATTCAGCTGTTTGCAAGAGTTGCCGTTGATTTTTCCTTTTTTTTTTTAAAAGGTGTTTGTCCTCTGCAAAAAGTTTTTTTTTTCTGTGACTCATTTTAAAAAAAAGAAAAGAAAAAGCTTATGAATGAATCGTAATCAAACGTCCATTTTAAATGGTCATCCATTAAAAATGTGAAATGGCGCAGATATCTTTGGTCTTTCTCATTCGGCTGTTCTAATTTACTCCAATAAAAGGATTCAGAGTTTGATCAGAATGATTCAGAAAGACGAGGAACAAATTGAATCCCTTCATTGTGCTTTCAGACAGAGATCCGTCCCTCAACCATTTTGATTAGGTCACCAACAGGAAGATCCCAGGCAAGAAAATCCTAATCGCTTCATGGCAATATAGACATTAATCTAAAAATAGTGAAATTAATCTTGCAAACACTGAATTAAACTCTATACATAATATTATGTTAAAATAGTGGATGTTAAATATGTTTGTTCAATAAGTCCAAACAAGTTTAACCAAAAATTAAGAAGGGTGGAGGGTTAGGGTTAGGGTTAGTCTTAGGGTTAGGGTTAGGGTTAGGGTCAGGGTTAGGGTTACGGTCAGGGTTTCTAAGAAAAAATCAGGTGATAAAATCAATACAATAGATATTTTTCTGGGAAAACAAGTTTATTCTGGTTACTAACAAACTGTGGACACATGTTGGACTTTGTTAACTTTTGTTTTTGCCTGTTTAACTGAATTCTTTAGGTGTTTTTTCTGGAAGTTTGTCTTTAATTCTGACGAATGCTCCGGCTGCTGTGGCATCCAGAAAGCCGCCCGCGTTATTTCCGGACCACAGGTGCTCACACCGAGACACAGAAGAGGCAAAATTGCCCCTGATATTGGTAATTATTGAGGCGCCATCTCCTCCAATTTGGCTCATTTGGGACCCTCTGCCCGCTCAGACAGGTGTGCTAAGTGCTCTGGTTTGTTCCTCTTCCCGACATCCCTGGCAGACTTCCACCAGGAGACTTTTGGTCCTGGGCGGCTGATTGAAGGCGTCGGTGTTATGTGGCGTTGCTACGGTAACCTGATATCCATAATGCAAATGTTGCTGTGTGAGATGAGGAGATGAGAGAGCCGCAGGGCAGATCTATTCAGAGCAGGGCGATGTGGGCAGAGATTCATGTTTAGATGAACCTAAACAAGAGTCTATGCAAATATAAAGTTGATGCACAGGAGTGTGTGTGTGTGTGTGTGTGTGTGTGTGTGTGTGTGTAGCTAACACACATGTAACTGAACGGTAAACAACAAATGCCACAAATAAACTAAGCTTTTACCAAAAACATCTGTTGTCTGAATCCATGACCAAGGCTTTTCACATTCCTTAATTTGGGATTATTTGATGAGCAAAATGTCGAAAGATATTAAGTCAAAGTCAGTCTGAGCAGATAACACATCAGAAAAAAACTGACTGGATCTAAATGTTGGTACAAAGCCCTTTCTTTTCATTTGTTCCTTTTTTATTTCTTTCATTTGGATCGAATGTTTATTTTCCGATCGCAACTCTATGTTTCTACTTATTTAAAAAAAATCACTTTTTTTCTCAGCTCTTTTATATTCATATTTATAGTTTTATTTTTGTAATTATCCGCAGTATTTAATATCTAACCTACAAACAGTCCTCGCTGTACCTGGTAGCCAAGCAACAACATTTTGATGTCAAATTCCCTCTGTGACTTTACACAATGATAATAAAGAAAGCCTGAGTCTGAGTCTCTAAGTCTGAAGAAGAATGCAGTACTCTGCAGACCCTCAGGTAACCTGAACGCACCACAGCTAATGTTTCAGTGTTCCATGAGGCCTTAAATAAGAGCCGAAGGGGTTTGTTTTGCAGGTTTTCCACTCTGAGGTGGATTTATGCTGCAGGTCTGGATGGGGACTGAGCATTTTCTCCTTAATATGCGCCTTCAGATGGAAAAATACCTCGTGTCTCATAATGAAAACCTTGGAGAGACTCTGTTCATGAGAGGTTGCTTGGAAGTTGATCCCCACAGGTGCCTGGTTGAGATGTGAGGACCCTGTTCTCTGACTTTACAGGGGGACTTTAACCCCACATTATTAAATGGTAAATTATTTAAATTATTAAATGGTATTAAAGGGGGGTTAGCTGTCTCCTGCTTCTGCACATTATCAGATCAAACATGCTAATCAAAAACATAATTAAACAACTAATTTAAGACTAAGACTTTCTGTGTTTTATCACAATTTAGGAAGAAAAGGGGGAAAAAGCTCCATGCGGTTACCCCATTTTCACCCCATTTTTCCAATCAGACGATCTCTCACTCTCAGAATTTCTT